TGAGGCGACTGTTGTTGTGATTTTGCACAGTATAAATAAAATTGAATTGAATTAATTAATGCGGTTATAGCGTTAACGTCATTTTAACGAGATTAATGCTGGCAGCACTACTATTAACACATAGTGAGTGAAGAAGAAACACCCAGAACCCCCCAGCAGCTTGCACCTATTGCAGCATAACTAATTCAGGAACTTTGACAATAGTGAGTAAGATTTGCTGCTGGTCAGCTTGTGAGACCCCCTCCAAACAGCCCATGCCTTGGGTCAGCCTGTGTGTGTCTCTTTTCAGCATTATTCTAAACTTGATGCTGTGTAACGATTAGTCAGACCAAACTAGGTGTCCGTGCTGCAGAGTTCAGCAAACGTCACTTTTTTCACTAGAATGCTTTCTAGAAGGAGTCAGTGCAGAATATTCGATTGCAGCTGATGACATAAATCCATCTTTTATCGTCCTTCACTCGTTTTGCTCGTTCTTATACTTTCTGGACGCTGTTGTTTCTTTCAGGAATCCGTATGGGCAGCATGGGCCTATTCCTGCAGTGTGCTACCTCAACCTTTTTCTCTCTGGTTATGAGTCGTTTGGTTCGGCATTTGGGATCCCGGTGGGTTTACCTGAGCAGCATGGTGAGCTTCACAGTCTCCGCTTTGGTCATCTGCCTGTCCAAAAGCGTCGTCTTGGTCACTGTAATGGCAGCTCTCACTGGCTATGCATACGCGACACTGCAGACCCTCCCTTACACTCTCACCTGCCATTACCACAAGGAGATAGAGGTAAGTATAGAAGTAAGAACTGGATATTCAAAGACATGTTTTAGATGATTACAGTCAATGATTCCTTTCTCATTTCAGGTCTACATGCCAAAAAGAATAACCAAAAGCAGACATAAAAACGGTGTAACAGCCATGCGGGACTCTGTGTATTTGACTCCTGTGGAAGAGGAGGGTGGACTGAACCACCAAACAGGGCCTCCTTACAGGCACGCCTTGTTCAGCCAGGACAGTTACGAGTACTACCCCGGCCCGCAAAGCCAAAACGGTTCGTCTCACAGCTCCAACGTCCCCGAGCAGGACGAAGCCGAGTCGGGCTTTGAGAAACGCGGTGTGGGCTTGGACTTCGCCATCTTAGACAGCACCTTTCTCCTCTCTCAGGTTTTCCCCACCCTCTTCATGGGCATGATTGTTCAGTTTGCTCAGTCCGTCACTGCCTATATCGCTTGCTCTGCCATCTTTGGAGCTGTCGCCATCTACCTGGCCAGTCAGATTGTCTTTGACCAAAAGGACCTCAGAAACTGAGTGATGGGATCGCCGATAATCAACCCTTCAGGTTCCACGAGTGGTACTCGCTGCACTACTGTTCCCAGAAAGCCTTTTGCTAGTAACATTTTTTTGCTTTCACCGACACTCTGCATTAAGGTATATCTGTTAGCGTGTGAAACTGGCTTACCGAAGATAAAGTCAGGAGCTGTTTGCCGTGTTATTGCAGGAATTATCTGTTACCAGAAGAGTCACCACCTGCTCAGGTCCGATGAGGTACAATGTGTACTGAAACCTATTGAATTCAACAGACGTGTCTCTTTAAAACTGTCACGGCATAATTTCTGTCCACCTTTTTCCTCAGGTACCTTCAAACAGATTTACTGTACAACCCGTCAACCTCGAATACACCAACTAACTTTTCTGAATCGTATTTTTTAATTATCTTAAGCTACAGTTTTACACAGTGCAGTCTGTTTTTGTCTTTGCTCACTCGTCTTCACTGTCACTAAAGCATTTCCCATAATGGTCATCTTACTTAATGACATTTAAAATTAAATTAGGTGAGCGTGGGGAGTCGTCAATCTAATGCAAGATGGCAGAACAGATAAATTGGTTTCTTCAGAAATATGCTACTTTATTCATTAATTTGAGAGCATCCAGAGATGGTCTTGCCAACTCTGTATGATCTCTTATTAGACCGTCCTTTCCTGCAAAATGTCATCATCTTTCTACTTTATAATAGGGCTGCCACAAACGATTATTTTGATAGTCGACTAGTCACCGATTATTTTTGCGATTAGTCGACTAATCAGATCATCATCCATTGGATGTCAAACATACAGCTTATTGCACCAGCAGCATCTGCTCTTATATAACTATCATTAGCTTACAGCTTTAAGTGTTTAAGGTCTGTGCTAACTAAAAATAAAGACAAGATAATCGTTTATTAAATTTGAATGAAATTTGCAGATTGTTTCGGTGAAGTTTAATAAACTCCTTGCTATCTAAAATATAACAGGACACCGGAGTAAATTCTCGAGCATCTCACACTTGTGATAATCAGCTGTCTGCTTGACGTTTATTCAGCTGTGTAAAAACTATAACTTTAATCTCAGCCAAACCGATTTACTCAGGAACAAATAAAATACTGAAAAAAGCCAAACAATAACATTTTTAAGTTATCTAAGTGACTTATATATCATGTTTAACCTGAGTAGCGAAAGAGGCGGTGGGTTTGAAAACGATTTGAGGGAGTCCGAGTTCTCACGGCTCTAGTGAGCCTAGCCCCCGGCTAGCTATCGAGCTAGTGGCTAACAGACGTCTCCAAAAACGTCGGAGTGCTTTTGAAAATATGTGGTGTCTTGATAAACTGAGCAGATATTTGAGGTTTACACAGCTACATTCTCGCCTGAAAATATGTTAAACGTTTATTTTGTGACCCAGAAAGAATAATAAGAGTAATATTAAAACTAACTAGCTGCCGCCATTGTTGGAAACTGAGCTGGGCTGCGCTATGAATTCTGGGACACAGCTTCTTCTTCTTCGGGGTTTAACGGCAGCTGGCATCCTTGTACATGCAGTGCTGCCATCTTCTGTTTCAGTCCGTTATTACACTCTTAAATCCTACTACTTATTCCTGCGTCTTTTGTGATCTTACAAAGCTTCAAACGACGCGTCGACTATTAAATTAGTCGTCGACGATTTTGATAGTCGACGTAATCGTGACTAGTTGACTAATCGTGGTAGCCCTACTTTATAATCGACCTTTTTTCTGTCAAATGTGCTATCGTCATTACACTTGTCTAGTCTCCACCAGAAGTAAACTAACTCCATGCGTAGGTGGGGTACATATGGGGATGTGGTAGTTCTGTTGGGCCGTCAGTATCCATTTCTCCTCCTGGGATTGGTCATGTCCAGGAGGACGATGGCATGTGTGAGTCACCGAAAGGTGAAAATGTGACTCATTTTCTTCAGTCACAGCATCTCATCCTTATTTAACACCTATGGCAAATTTTGTACCAGTGGTAGACGGCAATCGCGTGCACCGTCAGGGTGTTTCATTCCTCCTGTATATTTCCAAAGATTTGGAGCGGCAATGCCAAGGCCTGTTCTGGCCCAAAGCCTTATTAGGAGACCTTTTTTCTGTCAGCAGTCAGTGAGCTATACTCTGAGTCTCCTCTTATCCCTCCCTTCCATGTCTAGTGCCATCTTTTAGTGCTGTTTACTGCAAATATTTGCATACATTTTTACTGTATAATCCCTATGGGAATTTGTTATGCAACGTGCTGAAGTGAAGTTTCTGACTGTGATGATTTGGCAATTAGGCTGTTCAGCTGAATCGGAATATCGCATCAGATGTCCTTTGTGTAGATAATCAAGAGAGGTAATCTAGACTAGTGGACTGCTTATCCTGTCGAGTAATAATAACACACTTTCCCCGTTACCTAAGCCCCGTTTAAGTTGGGGTTTTTTTAATGACAATCTAGGACATCCAGATGGGCTTGTTATATAATCCCAGACGTGAACGGTAAACATGCAGAGTGATGTCTTATGGATGCCCACGTCATAGCAACCGTTCTGGAAAACGTCTCCCAAAAAGTTATGCAGTGCATGTCAACATTTGGTTACTGAAAATCATGCAAGCAAGGGCAATGAAGGCTGTGCGTGTTTGTGTGTATGCATAACATGGAGGACAGATTTCAAGAAGTCGTGAGTAAGTGTGAGAGTAATAGTTGGTATGACTCAAATGCAGCTTTTTGTTTCTTCTCTTGCTGCACTGACAGCAAGAGGAAGGAGTAGCCTGAATAATGCTTTACATCACAAAGCATCATCGTGGCCAAATGATGAAGAATCCATGTTTGTGTCAGTTACTGAGTTCCTGCTGAGAATTTGTGTTGAGTCCTTCTTTTCTGATCCAAACTGTTCAGTTGGTACAACAGAAGGATCCGATTTCCTGCACGGACCAGAGAATTTGTCATGTTGACATCACTGCCAAGTAGAACGCTCAAGCAATCGACTTATCCTCCATGTCTAGCATTAACTGAAATGTCAAAAAAGGTTGTTTTACAAGTGCCTGTACATTTTCCAAACATGTTTTGTACATATGTATTTATTTATTATGCTTTTATTACAATATAGCATGTATTAAAACTATTGGACTTTCGGCATCTGTCACAGGTGCAGGGGTGAAGGCTCTTTCTGTGAAAATAAATTATTTGTATAGATGTGTTATAGAAGCATTCGTAAAGCTGTAATTTATTTTAATATTACCCATTTCACATGGTTTGAGTTTCCTTTTCTGTTTTCATGGCTCGTTTAAGAAATCGTGTCCTTTGTCAGCAGTGGTTCGGTCATACGTCTCGTCAGTGGTCAATAAACATTTTCCGTTAACTGCAGTTGTCTGTAACTGGATGAGTGGAGGTGTTCTTGTGCCCTCAACCAGATGACCTGTATTATTAAAACAAAGTGACTTAGTGAGGCCAGAAGTTGTTTTTGATGTTCTGTTTTATCACATGACTTCAGTTACTTATTTCAGAGTTTATATCATTTTCATTGTACATGTCCGGCTGTGTATAAATGTGCAGTTACCAAATAGATTTTATACAAAATAAAAACTGCATTTTCACTGAGGTGTCTTTGTGTTTAAAAATCAAACATTACATGACAGAGGTCAGAAGCGTTTCTTTAATTAAATCTGAAACTAATTCTGGATCATTTATTTAAATGAGCCGTTTGCAGCGTCCACAGTTCTGCCAAAGCCGAAGCTTAAAGACTCCACATGCGCTTCAAATGAACTTGGAAATGGTGCCATCCTTTGGAAATCTCGGGGAACTGATGTGTGCGAGAGAGCTGTTGGTGCGCAGCTGCGTTGGGCTCACTGACGCATGGACATACTGTTGGTGGCATTATCCATTACATGGAAAAGACGATAGGCTTTCATGTTACACGGAATGGCACGCCGACAATGTGCGCCGTTTCGTGACGGGCCTCTCCAGCGCTCCTCGTAGTTCTCACGAATGCGCCGTGAGAAATGCACGGCTCAGGGTATACGTGGAAAAACCTGACATGATTAAAATGACACGTTGGGCCTCCGTTACCCGGTCGTGCTGTTGAGTTCAGAGGCGCTCAGTGTCTTGTTCAAGGTCAGGGGGGCGGATGCTAGCCTGCACTGGAGGCTTGAACCTTGATCTTTGCCGTTGATTGGCGCGAGCTCCCCGCTGGCTCTCTGGCCCAGCTGACATTTCAGTTTAGGCTTAAAAAAGCCCGGATTTGCTGGGGAAAAGTCTTAAACGTGGCAGGAAAGAAGAGAGACCAGCACAAGAGCCCTGTCATTGCTCTCCGGTGACAAGTGGGCCTGTTTTTACACCTTCCTTCTAAATAAGGAAGCGATCGGGTAGACATATGACCAGCGACCCAATTTGGGAGCAGCCCGAGTGCCCCGTCGCGTCCCATACCGCGGAACGCCAATAAGCTTTCTTCTCTTCCAGTTAGGCAGAAACAGCAGCGATCCCCCTCACATCTCCACAGACCTGCTGTTTTTCTGCCTTTGCAATAACCCTGCGGGTGAAGTCAGCATGATGTCATCTAGGGATGCGATAGTCTTGGCGAGGTTGAAGGGTTTTTGGTGAGCGCAATATTCTGAACTCTTACCGAGAGAGAGAGGCTGTCAGAAAAGGGAGAGAGAGAGTGAGTGTGTGAGAGAGAGGGGCGCGGGGGAGCTGCAAAACATGGTAATCACCACCACCACCACCACCACCAACATCACCATCACCATCACCTCCAGCTCTGCCGCGCACTCTCCCGTCTCCTCTCCTCGTCGGCACCGGGGCTTGCGTTTCATGCCCAAAGCACTGATCTGTGCTCCAAAAATAACCCTCAGTCAGCATGCCGAAGGAAGCAAAACAAGAAGAGCGGTATTTTTAGGGTCATTAATTTTGACCACGTGGCCCGAAGGTAAACCGGATGGCCGTTGCGCAAAGGCTCCTCGTCAGTATGTCCTGCGAGGCCGGCACGCCGCACTGGACGCTGACCGCAGTGGTTCTCCTGGGCTTTCTGCTGGGGATCGTGTCAGCGTACCCTTTACCGAGCAGCAGGACAAATGCAACTTTACTGGAGAAACGATGGGAGACCCTCTTCTCGCGCTCTGTGCTCGGGATCTCCGGAGAGAAACCGGAGCTGAATTGGGAGAGTGACTATCTGCTGGGCATCAAAAGAGTGCGGAGGCTCTACTGCAACGTGGGCATCGGGTTTCACCTTCAGATCCTCCCCGACGGCAGGATAAACGGTGTACATAATGAAAACCAGTACAGTGAGTTATATCTCCACCAATGTAATGCAATAGACATAAAAGAGAGGCGGTCAATGAGCATGGATCTGCGATGAGCAGCTAGTCTGTCCCCTCTATTCATTTGCATGATCGCGTCTCATCCGAGTCGGGGAGAGAACTGAATTTCACGGCAAAGACAAATCTGTTAAAGCACGTATCCATCAGTACTGAAAACCCCTCTTCCTCCCCCTCCTCCTCCAGCTCAACCATGTCACGAATGTATGGACGCTTTTAGACACAACTTATTTTTACGCAGCCCTCTGAGGGCGGTCCGGGAGACCAATAGCCGTGCACGCCGTGCAATTAGGACAGCTATTATTGCGGTAACCACAATGCGCTTAATGAATGCGCCTGGATGCAAATGGAAGATGGGGTGAAAGATGCAGAACAAAGGCTCGGCATGCTGCGCAGCAACCTGCAAGGTTACACCCATAGACGCAGAGAAAGCACAAAGCTACAGCGGCAAAACGCACTTAGCCAGGATGCTCCTTTGGTATGTCACTCACTGCTCACTAACTAACGCATCTTTGTCGTGTATCAGGTCTAATAGAGATCTCGACGGTGGAGAGAGGAGTGGTGAGCCTATATGGAGTGAGGAGTGAGCTGTTTGTCGCAATGAACAGCCGCGGGAGGTTATACGGAACGGTAGGTATGCACATATTTCACTTATTGTTCAGCACTGTTGGTTAATTGGATCCTGAAATCAGGACGCGCTCGGAGCTCGATCCGCCTTTTCTCTGTTTGCCTGTCGTAAATTGGACAGAGACTCTTGCCTTATGTGGCTGCAGAGGAGCTGCACGCTGTGGCCTGCGGAAGCTACCTATATTTCAGTTTCATCAGGAATTTCTAAAGCTATATTTAAGTGTGCGAGGCCTGTTGGCCGATGGGTAAATAATGATGAGGTTAACAGATGAGGGATTTAGATCACAGGGTGTGTGTGTGTGTGTGTGTGTGCGTGTGTGTGTGTGTGTGTGTGTGTGTCAGAGAGCAAGAGGAGGAGGGAAACCCCCCTGGTGACAAACCTGTCAGCACAGTTGAAAATCGATTTTAATGGCACACAGGCAGCACCTTCATGATCCTGCCCTTCAAACATTCTCACTTTATTTCTCTTGTTAAACATTTAATTCTAAAAAATACAATCTGTAAGAGTTTCCTGGCAGTTATTACTCATGACTTTGTTTGCTCGTTCTCCTCAACAGCCTTTGTGGTCTTTTGAAAATATGGATTCAGGATCCAATAAAACAAAGTGACTCAGTGTTTTAAAGGCGCTGAAGATGCTTTGAGGTAGAGTAGGCTTTCTTTCAACATGGCAAACAAGGTGACACATGGAAACCTCTGAGTTTAATCAGGGTTTTTATTGATAGCCGTCAGCTCGAGTGTTGTATTTGATATATTTTATATCTTCTGATTCTCTGAGGTTGAGCATTTTATTGCCCGAGGACCTCGTCAGCTTTATATTTCTTCCTTTTAGTGTTTAACACTCCATCATCTCCTCCATTGCTTGACTTGGATAACTGTACTCTGGGTCTTAATCAGAGTTTCAAGCTTGTGCATCTTATTATTGCCCAATGACCTCACATTCCCAATGTGATGGTAGCTAGAGCAGTTTCCATTCCTTTTATTTAGTTCGTCACTGAACTCCTCATCTCCTCTGTTTTAGTGTTTTGGCTTGTAAAAGGTTCTTGCTTAAAATATATCACAAAACAAAAGTGGGGCATAGGAACGACTCTCGGTCGATGCTGTTATCAGATTCTCCCACACGCCATCCTTTTAACGACCTTATCAGACAGGAAACACGTGCTTGTTTGAGCTGACGTGATCGCTTTGCTTTTAAGCACATTGATGACAGTTATTAGCTCCGAGTGGAGCGGGAAGGAGCATTACGTTTAGTGGAGCCCTGCTGACACATGAATGTGATTGTGGAAAACATATTTGACAGACAGAATGTGAATCACTTATCTGGTCATGAGTGATGGAGCGCTAGCTTGAGAGCATGGTGATGAGCTGATAAGAGACTGAATTAGGCCACATGGTCTCTGATGGCGAGTGTGACTGTTGCACACTGTGCAAGTCATGCACAGCAGAGAAGGGTTTCCACAGTGTCAGATATTCAAAGACGAGCAGTCCTGCGTTTGTTTCGTCTCCAAAATTGTTCTTGTTTTATTTATTTGAGAATATTTGCTGGAGGTTTTAGGTCTGAAATGTTGCATCTCAGAGAGCAATACTTGCAAGATTTGGAGTTAGATCAGATTGATAGCAGAAAGTAGAGCAAGGCCTGGTGTGGGTAATAACAAAAACCTGAAACCTTCAATGACTTATTGAGTTTTCAAGTTACCGGCTGACATTAAAAAAGCTCCGCTGGTGGTTCCACAGAGCTGCAGCGGCTTTTCATTTAGTCACGACAGCATTTTGGAGTAAAACACGTTTAATTCTTTATAGTTATTAAACACAGTCAGGTGGAAGCAGCCTCTCCCTGAGCCTGGTTCTGCTGGAGGTTTCTTCCTGTTAAAAGGGAGTTTTTCCTTCCCACTGTCGCCAAAGTGCTGCTCATAGGGGGTCATATGATTGTTGGGTTTTTCTCTGTATCTATGAAGCGCCTTGAGGTGACTTTTGTTGTGATTTGGAGCTGTATAAATAAAGTTGAATTGGATTTGACATAACTCTTTAAAGTAAATCCAAAAAATCATTTTTGAGTGCACAGCACTGCGGTGAGATTTCACTGTGTTTATCATTTCTCACAGTCTTATTTAAGCTTCAAACGTGTGTCTCTGTTTGCATTTGTGTCGAGCAGCTCGTCGTAAAGCACGTCCTGTCTCTTTGTCGCCTGCAGACAGTCTTCCACGACGAATGCAAGTTCAAGGAGAGCTTGCTCGCGAACAATTACAACGCCTACGAGTCTCTGGTTTACAGAGGATCCTACATCGCACTCAGCAAGCACGGCCGCGTGAAGAGGGGCAACAAGGCCACGACTGCCATGACTGTAACGCACTTCCTACCCCGAATATGACGAGCAAAAAGTGGCAATAACAAACGTATTTGCACATGTGGATTATCTCCCAGGTAACATAAATACCGTATACTACATACAAACACAAAAAAGACAAAAATGGACTATGAAATAAAGAAACACAGTTATATCTGATAGTATTTATTCAAACTTTATATGTATATTTGGGTAGTTTACTTTGTATTAGAAATGATCAAAAATGCCATTCTTTGCTGCTTTTGTGATTTTCATCCTTTTATGACATGAAGGGCACGGAGAGGCGTCGTGTGTCCGCTCTGGTTTTATGGGTGCTTGCTGGAATCGGTTGAGTTTTGCCCTGTCGGTGGATGACAGCTCATCTTTTTCAAATGGATTTGTTATTACCTCAAAGCACCGTATCCCAAGGATGTAGAAAATGTGTGCATGAATTTTTACACAGAAGAATGCCTGTTTACTTCTAAGGTTTGTTTGTTTGTTGTCGTCGTCATCATCTATCAAGGACTATAGACATTTCCCACCCGTTGCATTTGCGTGTCTCTGTCACGGTCAGGGCAACTACAGCACTTGTTTTTTTCTTGCTTTGTCATGAGGCGGCGGTGCCTTGAATTCCTTCTTGCGGCCCCCCCTTACCCTTGCATGCGAGAAATGTGGTGCTCAAGTCAGAAATAGGAATGATACGCAAGTCATCACTCCCTCAGACACCACTGGGGGGGCTTTAGCCCAATTCCTAGAGGGCCAGAAGTTTTTTCACTTTATTTTCTTTCCATAATTAGATCCATTTAGTAAGCGAGACTCTACGCTGCACAGGACCCAGTGGAGCCTCTTGTTAAAAAGGAAAGCTGGATTTGGAGTCGCCATCACCTCCAAGGGAGCTTTGACAATCCCGGGGTTCGTTTGAACAGCTTTTGTAGCCGGATCATCAGTCCGAACTGAAAATGTGAATGTTTATGCATCGGTTTTCATCATGTATGCAGATTTGTTTTCTTCCTTTACATGGTGGAGGGACAGAACATCATAGACCTAACACTATGACGCAAAACACCCTCCATCTCTGCCTACTGTACGTTTCCCCCGGTTCGAGTCGATGCCGTCTGTTGCATCAGGCCTCTGACTTTACACTGCAAAGTTTATGTGACGCTGGTTAAAGCAGCATGCTGAGTAAAATGACAGAGCACGGCACGGTCTGCTGCTTTAACTCCAAATAAATCGAGTGAAAAGCGACATTTACTCTCAGTTCAAGATCCTGGGATTTGCAAACGATCCTTACGGTGTCTCCGTTTTTGATATTTAGATGAAGTGGGTCGTTTATGACAGTTTTTATGCATTCTTCAGATTGGTCGCTGAGTCTGAGCTGAACCAAAGGGTTAGGTTAGTGATGTTCATTCAGGCTTTGCATATACAGCACATCATACTTGAATTTAACGACCTCTCATGCTCCTCGTTCTAATACTGTAATTTTCCATTGTAGAAACGAGAGGGCACAAGAAGCAGACAAAGCAAACGATAGCTAAGACGGACAGAGGAATCACTGAGCGTTTAAGTTGACGAACGCGTGGATAATCGGGTGAAATAGCTGCGTGGCAGACTCGTGGGTCTCCTGTTAGTTAATCTTAGACTGGACGGTCATCGCAGGGACCTGAGAATCCTGTGCATCTGAGCCATTTTTGCGCAAAGGTCAGAGACGTGGGCGATTCGCCCTCTGTGTTATTCGTGTAGCCGTGTTTCAGCCACGTCATTTTTGCTTTCTAAAGTTGAAAAGCTGTTAGGCCATTTTCCTGATGAAAACAAAGACAGTTGTCTTGTCATGTGCAATGAAAGTATTAATGATTTTCGCAACTTCTCAAGTATTTTAAATGCTGGAAGGAGGTGCTATCAAGCTGGCTTTGACCTTCATTATGCTACGAGTATAAGGCCAGCTCGGTGAAATATGATTAAAGGGAAGTAGCAAGGCACTTGTAGATATGTTATCATATTTTACCTCACGCCCTTTTAAACTCTACTGTAACTCACTGACAGAATGTCTGTGAGCAATGGTTCATGCGCCCTTTAAGCTCCAGCGTCTGTCTCGTAGCAGAGACGAATGTGTGTGTGTACGCACGTATGCATGTGACTGAGCACGCTCCTGTTCTGTTTCAGCCAGAACGACTGTAGCGATGATCAATTTACCTTAAGTCGGGAATGACGAGGCATTAGCCGTGCAGACTGACGCACGGTGGAGAGGACAAAGATGACTGGAAGCAAAGCAGTGAGTTGAGGGATGCGTGCAGCAGAAAAGCGCTGACTGCACAATAGTTATGTAGCAAAAGGCCTCGTGAAAAAGAATCAAACGCTTCCAGGAGAGCGGATGCTTATTTCTGAATACTGTGATCCAAGAGAGCAACTTGAAATGCCCAGGATGTCACGAGTGTCTGAATATCAACACCACTGATAAGTGTCTGTGGGGATTTTGCCTTGAGCATCTTATCTGTCATTATGAGCGATCAGCCATGGAAACAATGATCATGTAGCTTTTTCTCTTGGCTGACCACATGAGGAAAAGGTCAGAGAGCTATTTTTGCTAATTTATCCAAAATATATAAAAGGTGCGTTTTTAATGGAGTAGAAGTAGTTAGCTGACAGAAAGAATAAAAGCACGTGGGTTTGATGACGAGTAGTTTCTGCACGGCCCTGACGTGTCCAAATTCATGGGCTGCTTCCTCCTGAGGCCGCATTTGTAGACCGATTACGTCACAGCGACGCGCCGAAGGCTGTCCAAATTCGTAGACTCCTCCGAATGCAGCCGACAAATGCGTCCTCCTTGGATGGATGGGTCGGGTGTGTCCTTCGTGGCCTACCATATCCCAGAATTCATAGCGCGGCCCAGCCAAACTCCAGTTTCCAACAATGGCGGCCGCTACTAAGTTTTAAAATTACTCTTACTAATCTTTCTGGGTCACAAAATAAACTTTTAACATATTTTCAGGCGAGAATGTAGCTGTGTAAACATCAAATATCTGCTCGGTTTATCAAGATATCGCATATTTGCAAAAGTGCTTCGACGTTTTCGAGACGTCTGCTACCCACCAGCTCGATAGCTCGCCGGGAGCTCGAGGGTCACTGATGCGGCCGAGAACGGCACAACTCCCGGCACATCATTTTCACATCACCGCGGACTTTCGCTGCTCGGGTTAAACGTGATGTATACGTCACTTAGACAACCTAAAAATGTTATTGTTTGGCTTTTTTCAGTGTTTTGTTTGTTCGTGAGTAAATCGGCTTGGCTGAGATTAAAGTTATTAGATTAGATAAAATAAAACTTTATTAATCCCCCGGGTGGGTTCCTCCTTGGTTTTCACACAGCTGACTAAACGTCAAATAGAAAACTGATTAAACAGAAGTATGAGACGGTCCAGAGTTTACTCCAGTGTCCTGTTATATTTTAGACAGCAAGGAGCAGACGGCTGAGACAGCGGTGACGCTAATCAGAAGGCTAGACCGTCCAATTTCACGGCCGTTTACTTCCGGCCTACCCGACCTTCTGAGGACCCGGCCCACCTAGACCGCGAAGGCCGGGTCCTCAGGAGGATGCAGCCCATGAATTTGGACACGACGTCACAGCAGGGACGTCACAGCAGTTCCTCCAACGTGAAACTTTCTGTTGTGGAAAGAAATCGATCTTGTGCACACACCAACCAAGCTTGGTTTTTACTTTCTAAGACTAAGGAAACATTTACTGTCGCAATTGTACGACTTTTGCATGTTGCTGTTCAGAGGCATAAAAGGTTGTATGATACCGCAGTAACGGAGAAAAGGTACTTAACCTTTACTTCCTCGAGTCCTCATTATGCATGTAGTGTTCTGAACGGACTAGGTTTGTCTCACCCCTTTGATTAAGGATCCGGATCCAGGTCTGGGTTTTGCCATCACGTCATTATATTTCTGTTCAGCTGGTTTCAAACGTGTCGGTTCGTTGGGAACCGAAGGCCTGCGGGCGGCTCCGGGGTCAGACTCCCTGCGCCACCGGCAGCCTTTGTGTTTCTCTCACTTTTCTATTCCTGCACTGAAAGGAGAGTTCTTCCTCCGAGTCCACCCCCACCCCCTCTTTTTTAACATATACCTCACCTTCTGCCTTAGTTCCGATTATTGAAATGATTGTAAATTAGTTTGAAACAACAGACTTCTCCAATCATTTGTTTCTGAAAAATATGATGATGAGTAAGTAAAATAATATATTGCAAATGGTTTTCCTTTTATTTTTGTACGTATGTGCTGTGCACAGCAGTCGACTGTATTCCTGAGACGATAATAAAATACGTTTTTGTAAAATCTGCTGCGAATCTTTTATTTTATTGTGTGTCTAAGTTACTTCACACGCGCATGTTCCGACTGACAGGGATGACGGCAAAGACCAGAGAAAAAGCGAGCAGCAGCGCAAAAGTTGGACCTGCAGCCAAAGTCTTTGTCATGAGTCAGTATGTAGCGCCCCCTCCTGGTGAAGAGGAAGGCACACTATGTATGTTTGTGGTTTTTGCAGGTGTGGAAGTTGCAAAGAAAATGGGTCAAGAACACAGCAGCACTTTATGTTGATCTCATTTTAATTTGAATCTGAAAAAAATATCATTTTGCTCCAATATAAGCAAAAACAAACAGCATCAGTTTGAATAGTGTGTGATCTCATTAAAGGCCATGCAGCAACATGAATCTTTATTTTCCTCCTGAATATGTGACATACTGCAAGTTTATATAGCTTCTGCTATAAATATTTGCCATATAATCGCAGATCATCTGCACGATTTTCAATAAACATTACAATAATATTCAAATCTTCCTTTGATGTTTGAGCTTGAAAGTTTTTTTTCCATTTTAAATAGACACGAATATCTAAGAATGAGGCTTTCCAGGAATAATTACAGGGAACTCTTGTAAAAGATAACGAGAGCAGCGGAAGTGTGTACAGTTTAATAATAAGCACAGTATAAATCATTTAGCCTGGATGGCAGTCAGCCTACTGTGACGCAACAGCGTCATTAAGAAATGACCAATTTTTTGCCTGATCTTTAGATTTTAGACGAATCTAACTGATCTTTCTATAACGCTTTCATAAATGTTAGATTTCTAACAACACGTTTGGTCAAGTAACAAGAAATATGAGCAAAGACTGTGAAAACCCGTCATTAATGTCAAAGAATGACCATCAGTCATTTCTTCTTCTGCGTTTTCTTATCTCTAGACTTTCAGCTCTGTTTCTTATTTAAACTTGAACACATGAGAAATTTTACTTCCATGTAGGGGAGAAAACTGTTTTTATGCATCGTGTTTCCACACAGCTTACTTAAGTCGCATCTAGGCAACCCTTAACTGCTGCAGCCGAGCTTGGAGTCATTTTGGTAAATGAGTTAGCCAGTTTATTGACCCTCTGTTTAAATAGACGCGTTGGACTTTCTCCTCCTCCAGTAGCGGACCACATACCATCCTGAACATTTGTGCTTTTAGAAGGCCTTTAATTGCCATCGATCATGCAACTGGCTTCCTTCTTAGTCGTCCTGATTGCTGTACACGTGTCTGTACCAGTGGATTGTAGGCCAAGGCTCCAAGATTCAGAACAACTAGCTCAACATCAGCAGGGTCGATTGAACACGGCAACAAATGCAGATCCATCTATGGGACGCTTCTACTCTGTGCTGGATGGATCAATGACACACAGCATTTACAGCGGCTTTCTGGGTAAGTCTGCGTATAAACACACAACTGGAAGCGCTTATACAGACAATCCTCTGCAAGAATAAAGGAAAATGAAGAGGGTAAATATCACGCTTTGGATCTGAAAGGAAGTTCAGGGAAATCAGAGAAAAACTGAACCAAACGAAACAAAAAAGAAAGTTTGAGATTATTTCTGTACATTTATAAACTTCAAAACATATTTTCAAATTTAAAAGCAGAATATTGTTAATCAAATATTTTTCTTGTTACATTTGTTGATAGAAATGTGCTTTTTTTCAGTCACTTTGCCTGTGAGAACAGCTAGCAGCAACTTTGTGTCAATATTTGATTTGAGAAGAAAACGTTTCATCTGTATGGACTTTAAGGGAAAGCTGTACACATCTGTGAGTATTTCTTTAGATGTTCTAAGTTTGAATGAAGTCACAAAGTGCCAAAAACAGACCATAAACATTTTCTTTCTACCAAACAGACGCAAAGGGACAGAGCAGACTGCCTCTTCCAGGACATTTGGTTAGATTTAGTAAGCCACCATCATGTGTTTTACTCTACAAGCGGGAGAAGGCTGCTCAGACTACAAGCAGGTCATCTGCGAGCGGCACATGGCGAGCCGCCTGAACACTACTTAGCCCTGCTGAGGCTCTTGAACCCCTCGGTTAAAAGACAGAGAAGGAGCGAAGAGGTGAACCCCTCTGATCCTTTACGAACAGAAGCAAATCCCTCACGTTCTGGAAAAGATCTCCGAGATGCAGATCACGTTCGGCCTGAACAGGATCAGACGGGCGCCGTGTCTAAAGAGACCATCGCCTCCTGCGACGACCCCCTGTCCGTCTTACAGCCCAACGCGCCTGGAAGCCCTGTGAAGACGAACATTGCAGACCAAGCCTAAGTCGCCCAGCATCACTCATCCATAGAAGCTGTTTCCCGGGATAAATCTGGATGACCATTAAGAGCCATAGAAACCTTAGTCCCTTATTTCTAGACCTGGTTGAAAAGGACTGAAAAGACCCGTTGATTAGAGGCCGAACTGACATCTAAACTCTGCAAAGTCGTCGAGGCTGAAGTTGGTTCAAAAGCGGTCATCTGAGGAGTTTGCACCGTCCCAAAAAAGGAAGATCATGTTTCTAATGAACTCAGACGGTGCCCTTGCACTTGTGAAGTCATGCTTTGCTGGGTGGGGAGATACTGACCTTCCCTGAGTTTTTATGGAGCTAACCCTCATAAACCAGGTTACATCAAAGGGGCTCGTGCAGGTCTCCTGTTTACTCGACATAAGTTTGGTCCAGTCACCTCTTTGCTGAGGAGAATTTGAAGCCCTGGGTCAGATATGTCAATATTTGTTCAAATAATTGTTTAAATCATCCAACAATTCTTGAACTGTTGCTGAAAAACAGCAACAAGAACAACAAAAAGACGAATGATACTGTTGTGACTGGGAAAACAATATCTCCTGCAGCTTCCATAAAAATGTTAAAATA